GCTTCTCTCATAGCAAATCATTGAATGGTCATTTCAAAAGGGTAAAGAATAGAAACCATCCTTAAAGCTCCCCTGACAGGAGAGATTTAAGAACACGAAGGGTATTATTGGGCTGTACCATTACTGGATTCAATGACAGGCATTACATGGCTGGCGATAAAATCACTAATATCTTCACGCTTTGCCTCCTAGTGGATTTGATTCTTCCACGGCAAAGTCCCCATCAAGAACTGTTTCTTTTCATGAGGGTAGGCAGCTACACAGAGTATACCTTTGTCTTCACAAAAATAGGCCCACTTTTGAACTACTTTCTTCAACACTGATAAAGAAAAAAGTCCTTTTATCTCCCGTGAAGGGCTTCAGCTTCCAGCTCAAGTTAGCTAGATTTGCGACATTCTCTGACCCCACCAAAACCACGCTGGCTGCTGAGGTCTCGAACAGAAACCTAATATAAGGCAAAGAACAGATACAGCCCTCAAAACTCTTCCCATCTTGAAGGAGTCTTTCTTTCCAGACTCATGAAAGTGTCTGAGGGATGTGGTCCCAGGAAACAGAAAAGACATCTCTGTTTGAGGAGAGCATCTATTTAATCATATTTTAGTGCAAAATTGGGGAAGAAAAGGCAGTCACTCATTGCTTTTCCTTTCTACAGCTTCCATTAATTTTCTCTGAGGGATCTAGGACTTGAACTGATACATTATGGTTCTTATTCCACCATCCTGAACACTTCCCGAGTGTCTCATTTATCTCTGTATTTCCAGAATGTATCATAGAACTTGGAATGTAGTGGGGAGAGGGAAGGACATTAGTACGTATTGGGCATCACTATACACTGAGTTCTGTGAGAGATAACCTCATGCATGCGTGCGTGTGTATATAAAGGTACGTTGTATTGGTTAGCTGTTGCAATGGTAATGCTGTGTAACAAACCATTCCAAAATCCAGTAGCTTGAGAAACCTTAAGCATTTAGTATTGCTCAAATTTGTGCAGTTTGGCTGATCCAAACTGAGCAGAACTGGATTTGGTTGGGTATTTCTTCTTATTGTAGGTCTACACCTTTGCCAGGATAGCTCTGTTTCAGGTGCTAGTCACTGGTGGGGGATGGGGCTCTGTCTCATGTGTCTCACCCTCCTGGGATGAGTCATTTAGCCATGGCAAGCTCTTCTCTTGCCTATGGCAGAGGCACAAGAGAACAAAGGGAAAAATGCAAGGCCTCTTATGGTTTATGCTAGGAACTGGCACATGTCATGGCCACCTTGTTCAATCGGTCAAAGCAAAGGACAGGGCCAAACCCAAAGTTAAAGGATGGGAAAGAGGTGGTGGGCAGGGAGGGGACAGCTCCAAAGTCACAGGGCAAAGTGTGCAGGAGAGATGAAAACGGAGGCCAGGAATGCAATCTACACAATATGCTTTTTTAAAAGTTCATTTATTTTGAGAGAGAGAGAGAGAGAGAGAGAGAGAGAGAGAGAGAGAACGAGAACCAGTAGCGCAGAGGCAGAGAGAGAGAGAGAGGGAGAGAAAGAGAATCCCAAGCAGGCTCTGCACTGTCAGCCCAGAGTCCAATGTGGGGCTCAATCTCACAAACCATGAGATCATGACCTGAGCTGAAATCAACAGTTGGGGATGCTTAACTGACTGAGCCACCTGGGCACCCCTGCACAATATGTTTAATCTGACAGCAAACCTCTGTGCTAGATCTGGTATTACTCCCATTTTCCTGATGAGGAAACTGAGGTCGAGGGAGGCCAGACCATGGTTCCAAAGCATGTTTTCTTTCTGGCATAACCGTGTTCCCTCTGCCTGGTGTTCCGTGGGACTCAGTGAATAAAAACCACAAGTCTGGCTGAAAGTTAAAACAAGCAAGGATCTCTTTTACTGAAGTAAATTCTAGTTTGTCTGTGGTTTTTCTCATGCAGTGATTCTGGCTGTCTGTAACTCCCACATCCTGCTGTTGTCCAGACTTGAATCAGCTGGGCTGTGTTAGATCCTTGTTCCCGCCCTGCTCTGTCTGGAGCAATCAGGCAAGAAAGCAAACAGACCCGGGGCCTCTGATGCAGAAAGGATCTTCTGTACATAGCTCTGTTGGTTTTTTTTTTTTTTTTTTTTTGCCAGAATGCCTCTGTTTGCTACAGAATCCTGGT